GGTTAGGTTATCTTGAGGTTAGGTTATCTTGAGGTTAGGTTATCTTGAGGGGTTATCTTGAGGTTAGGTTCTTGAGGTTAGGTTATCTTGAGGTTGAGGTTAGGTTCTTGAGGTTAGGTTATCTTGAGGTTAGGTTATCTTGAGGTTAGGTTATCTTGAGGTTAGGGTTATCTTGAGGTTAGGTTATCTTAAGGTTAGGTTATCTTGAGGTTAGGTTATCTTGAGGTTAGGTTAACTTGAGGTTAGGTTATCTTGAGGTTAGGTTATCTTGAGGTTAGGTTAACTTGAGGTTAGGTTATCTTGAGGTTAGGTTATCTTGAGGTTAGGTTATCTTGAGGTTAGGTTATCTTGGTTAGGTTATCTTGTTATCTTGAGGTTAGGTTATCTTGAGGTTAGGTTATCTTGAGGTTAGGTTATCTTGAGGTTAGGTTATCTTGAGGTTAGGTTATCTTGAGGTTAGGTTATCTTGAGGTTAGGTTATCTTGAGGTTAGGTTATCTTGAGGTTAGGTTAACTTGAGGTTAGGTTATCTTGAGGTTAGGTTATCTTGAGGTTAGGTTATCTTGAGGTTAGGGTATCTTGATGTTATCTTGAGGTTAGGTTAACTTGAGGTTAGGTTATCTTGAGGTTAGGTTATCTTGAGGTTAGGTTATCTTGAGGTTAGGTTATCTTGAGGTTAGGTTATCTTGAGGTTAGGTTATCTTGAGGTTAGGTTATCTTGAGGTTAGGTTAACTTGAGGTTAGGTTATCTTGAGGTTAGGTTAACTTGAGGTTAGGTTATCTTGAGGTTAGGTTATCTTGAGGTTAGGTTATCTTGAGGTTAGGTTAACTTGAGGTTAGGTTAACCTGAGGTTAGGTTATCTTGAGGTTAGGTTATCTTGAGGTTAGGTTATCTTGAGGTTAGGTTATCTTGATGTTATCTTGAGGTTAGGTTATCTTGAGGTTAGGTTAACTTGAGGTTAGGTTATCTTGAGGTTAGGTTATCTTGAGGTTAGGTTATCTTGAGGTTAGGTTATCTTGAGGTTAGGTTATCTTGAGGTTAGGTTATCTTGAGGTTAGGTTATCTTGAGGTTAGGTTATCTTGAGGTTAGGTTATCTTGAGGTTAGGTTATCTTGAGGTTAGGTTATCTTGAGGTTAGGTTATCTTGAGGTTAGGTTAACTTGAGGTTAGGTTATCTTGAGGTTAGGTTATCTTGAGGTTAGGTTATCTTGAGGTTAGGTTATCTTGAGGTTAGGTTATCTTGAGGTTAGGTTATCTTGAGGTTAGGTTATCTTGAGGTTAGGTTATCTTGAGGTTAGGTTATCTTGAGGTTAGGTTATCTTGAGGTTAGGTTATCTTGAGGTTAGGTTATCTTGAGGTTAGGTTATCTTGAGGTTAGGTTATCTTGAGGTTAGGTTATCTTGAGGTTAGGTTATCTTGAGGTTAGGTTATCTTGTTAGGTTAACTTGAGGTTAGGTTATCTTGAGGTTATCTTGAGGTTAGGTTATCTTGAGGTTAGGTTATCTTGAGGTTAGGTTATCTTGAGGTTAGGTTATTAGGTTAGGTTATCTTGAGGTTAGGTTATCTTGAGGTTAGGTTAACTTGAGGTTAGGTTATCTTGAGGTTAGGTTATCTTGAGGTTAGGTTAGGTTATCTTGAGGTTAAGTTATCTTGAGGTTAGGTTATCTTGAGGTTAGGTTATCTTGAGGTTAGGTTATCTTGAGGTTAGGTTAACTTGAGGTTAGGTTATCTTGAGGTTAGGTTATCTTGAGGTTAGGTTATCTTGATGTTAGGTTATCTTGATGTTAGGTTATCTTGAGGTTAGGTTATCTTGAGGTTAGGTTATCTTGAGGTTAGGTTATCTTGAGGTTAGGTTATCTTGAGGTTAGGTTAACTTGAGGTTAGGTTAACTTGAGGTTAGGTTAACTTGAGGTTAGGTTATCTTGAGGTTAGGTTATCTTGAGGTTAGGTTATCTTGAGGTTAGGTTAACTTGCATCTCACCAGCAAAATGGTCTGCTAATTAATTAGCCTTGTTCGTGTTTGTCAGTCCCACTTCTTCAGTTTAGTGATGGTGTCCTCAGAATAGTATTCCTGCCGGTCTCTGATCAGGATCCACCAGACTGTGGATCCAGGTCCTCTACTGATCCTTAATTCAAACATTGCTGCTATATCTACTTTGTCACTCCCCACAGTATCTTGTATAGTGTTATCATGTCCGCGCTATTCCTTCTTCCAGTGTAGTGTAGTTCACTCAGTCTTTCTTCATAGCTCAGTCCCCTTAGCTCAGGAACGAGCATTGTTACATATTTTTGGGCTTTTTAGTTTAGCTTTGTGCGTTAGGTAGGGGTTCCATGCTGGGGCAGCGTACTCAATAATAGGTCTCACAGAGGATGAATAGGGAGCTCAGAAAGGATCTTCCTCCTTTCTTGTATATAGGTGTCTCATTTGCCACTTTCCAACTGTCAGGAAGTTCCCCTATTTTTAGTGAGGAGCTGAAGACTATATCAACGGGTCCACACAGTGGTGCTGCTAGTTACGGGCTCACCATAGCCGGTGCTACATGGACACTTCGTTCTGAGTAGCTAAATCTGAAACAACAACAACAGTTGTGCAGCTGCCTCTTTTGATGAGGTGTTGTGAGGGTCTGTGGCCTTCATGCCCCACAATGTTGAGGTGTTGTGAGGGTCTGTGGCCTTCATGCCCCACAATGTTGAGGTGTTGTGAGGGTCTGTGGCCTTCATGCCCCACAATGTTGAGGTGTTGTGAGGGTCTGTGGCCTTCATGCCCCACAATGTTGAGGTGTTGTGAGGGTCTGTGGCCTTCATGCCCCACAATGTTGAGGTGTTGTGAGGGTCTGTGGCCTTCATGCCGCACAATGTTGAGGTGTTGTGAGGGTCTGTGGCCTTCATGCCCCACAACTCCTCTAATTGTCTCTTTACTTCCTCTGGTCTTACTAGTATTTCAATGGATCTTTCTCCTAGCAGCACTTGACTTATTAGAAGTTGTATGTTAGTTACAAAGACATTGACATTGAAGGATTTGGAAGAAAATGCAGAATAGAACCAGTGAAGAGCAAAGGTGCCATAGGCACAATCAGAGAACACTGTATAAACATCAGAGGTCCGCGGTTGTTCAACGTCCTCCCACCAAGCATAAGAAATATTGCCGGAACAACCGTGGATATTTTCAAGAGGAAACTAAATTGTTTCCTCCAAGGAGTGCCGGACCAACCGGGCTATGGTGGGTATGTGGGCCTCCGGGCCGCTCCAAGCAACAGCCTGGTGGACCAAACTCTCACAAGTCAAGCCTGGCCTCGGGCCGCTCCAAGCAACAGCCTGGTGGACCAAACTCTCACAAGTCAAGCCTGGCCTCGGGCCGCTCCAAGCAACAGCCTGGTGGACCAAACTCTCACAAGTCAAGCCTGGCCTCGGGCCGCTCCAAGCAACAGCCTGGTAGACCAAACTCTCACAAGTCAAGCCTGGCCTCGGGCCGGGCTTGGGGAGTAGAAGAACTCCCAGAACCCCATCAACCAATCAACCAGGTAACATTACTGCATTTGTGATGAATAATGTGAAAATGTATGACTGCTTGATACCTGGTTGATGGGGTTCTGGGAGTTCTTCTACTCCCCAAGCCCGGCCCGAGGCCAGGCTTGACTTGTGTGAGTTTGGTCCACCAGGCTGTTGCTTGGAGCGACCCGCAGGCCCACATACCCACCACAGCCCGGTTCGTCCGGCACGTTTTTTAGAAAACAGTCTAATTTTCTCTTGAAGATGTCCACGGTTGTTCCGGCAATATTTCTTATACTCGCTGGGAGGACGTTGGAAATTTTCCAACGTCCAATGGAAAATTTCTACATTGGAAAGTTTAACAAGGAATACTTAGAGGCTGTTATGTCTGTTTAAACCCATCCTCAGTGGTACTGAACATCACATATGTAAAATACACTAATTGATTCTTGCATAAACTTAAACAAATGTTACAGTAGATGGGTTATAACCGGCGGTGCCCGGGGTTAATTATAAAAGAATGTGACATATATTCTTGGGAGCCCGCACAATGTAAATCTTTGCGGTCGAACAATCATTTTTCTGTGTCAAAATCTATATTCTGTAACCTTATGAACAAACTGTGAAACGTTTGTTTCTCGCCACATTTCATCGAATTCATGGGGGTCGCTTAGAGAGACAAATTCCCTACAAATGGAGCAATGGGGCCGACCCTGACCCGCCTATGACAGTCCTCTACCACCCAAACATCACCCTGCAAAGTTTAACGAATCTAGTCAAAAGTATGCTTAGTTTGTAAATAATAATATGCTTCAAATTTCAATACTCTTTTTGCCTCTAGGACATCAAAAGTGTGTTATGTTACTATTCAACTGAACATATGCCACTTATCACACTATGCTGCACTCAATACTTTCTCTTACACTGTAGTATGCTGCTATGCTATATTATGCCTGCTATACTGTAGTATACTGCAAAGGTATATTATGCCTGCTATACTGTAGTATACTGCAAAGGTATATTATGCCTGCTATACTGTAGTATACTGCAAAGGTATAGTATGCCTGCTATACTGTAGTATACTGCAAAGGTATATTGTACCTGCTATACTGTAGTATACTGCAAAGGTATATTATGCCTGCTATACTGTAGTATACTGTAAAGGTATAGTATGCCTGCTATACTGTAGTATACTGCAAAGGTATATTATGCCTGCTATACTGTAGTATACTGCAAAGGTATATTATGCCTGCTATACTGTAGTATACTGCAAAGGTATAGTATGCCTGCTATACTGTAGTATACTGCAAAGGTATATTGTACCTGCTATACTGTAGTATACTGCAAAGGTATATTATGCCTGCTATACTGTAGTATACTGCAAAGGTATAGTATGCCTGCTATACTGTAGTATACTGCAAAGGTATATTATGCCTGCTATACTGTAGTATACTGCAAAGGTATAGTATGCCTGCTATACTGTAGTATACTGCAAAGGTATATTGTACCTGCTATACTGTAGTATACTGCAAAGGTATATAACTTTTGTCTGTAGACCCATAACTCTTGCCTGTAGACCCATAACTCTTGTCTGTAGACCCATAACTCTTGTCTGTAGACCCATAACTCTTGTCTGTAGACCCATAACTCTTGCCTGTAGGCCCATAACTCTTGCCTGTAGACCCATAACTCTTGCCATTAGACTCATAACTCTTGTCTGTAGACCCATAACTCTTGTCTGTAGACCCATAACTCTTGCCTGTAGACCCATAACTCTTGCCTGTAGACCCATAACTCTTGTCTGTAGACCCATAACTCTTGCCTGTAGACCCATAACTCTTGCCTGTAGGCCCATAACTCTTGCCTGTAGGCCCATAACTCTTGCCTGTAGGCCAATAACTCTTGCCTGTAGACCCATAACTCTTGCCTGTAGACCCATAACTCTTGCCTGTAGGCCCATAACTCTTGCCTGTAGACCCATAACTCTTGCCTGTAGGCCCATAACTCTTGCCTGTAGACCCATAACTCTTGCCTGTAGGCCCATAACTCTTGCCTGTAGGCCCATAACTCTTGCCTGTAGACCCATAACTCTTGCCTGTAGGCCCATAACTCTTGCCTGTAGGCCCATAACTCTTGCCTGTAGACCCATAACTCTTGCCTGTAGGCCCATAACTCTTGCCTGTAGGCCCATAACTCTTGCCTGTAGGCCCATAACTCTTGCCTGTAGACCCATAACTCTTGCCTGTAGGCCCATAACTCTTGCCTGTAGGCCCATAACTCTTGCCTGTAGACCCATAACTCTTGCCTGTAGACCCATAACTCTTGCCTGTAGGCCCATAACTCTTGCCTGTAGACCCATAACTCTTGCCTGTAGACCCATAACTCTTGCCTGTAGACCCATAACTCTTGCTGTAGACCCATAACTCTTGCCTGTAGGCCCATAACTCTTGCCTGTAGGCCCATAACTCTTGCTGTAGACCCATAACTCTTGCTGTAGACCCATAACTCTTGCCTGTAGACCCATAACTCTTGCCTGTAGACCCATAACTCTTGCTGTAGACCCATAACTCTTGCCTGTAGGCCCATAACTCTTGCCTGTAGACCCATAACTCTTGCCTGTAGACCCATAACTCTTGCCTGTAGACCCATAACTCTTGCTGTAGACCCATAACTCTTGCCTGTAGGCCCATAACTCTTGCCTGTAGGCCCATAACTCTTGCTGTAGACCCATAACTCTTGCTGTAGACCCATAACTCTTGCCTGTAGACCCATAACTCTTGCCTGTAGACCCATAACTCTTGCTGTAGACCCATAACTCTTGCCTGTAGGCCCATACTTGCCTGTAGACCCATAACTCTTGCCTGTAGACCCATAACTCTTGCCTGTAGAACACTGACACAGTTCTCAGTGCATCAGTTGATTGACAGTTGAGAGGCGGGACCAAAGAGCCAGAGCTCAACCCCCGCAAGCACAACTAGGTGAGTACTATACTCTGGCATGTGACGTCACTCAAGTCAGACAAAAACATTCCCTATGTTCATTAAGATGTAATTTTAATTTTCCATTTTTGTTAATGGTCGTTAAGCCAGAAATGTCAACAAGCAGGGATATATATATATATATATATATATATTATATATATGTATATATATATATATATATATATATATATATATATATATATATATATATATATATATATATATATATATATATATATATATTTATATGTTGTTGAATATGACCGAAGGGGTAAGATTAATGATTCTAACACGAATCTTCTAAATATTTCTTACGTTTTTCTACACTGTCGGGGGTAATTGAAAAATTAACTCTCCAAAGTTCATTTTCTCATTATTTATTTATGGTCTGTCGCCTAAGAGTGTTTCGCAAGGACTTCTCACATTATCAAAGACAGATTTACACACATCATTTCATGCTTATATTCGTTTTGGGTGAGGTGATATGACACAAATGTTTTTGGGTGAGGTGACAAAAGCCAAAACGCGAATCAATGGGTATATTGCACATTTGCTGCGTCTATGTTGGTTCGGGGTCTTGAAGTGGGTAGAATATAGTTATGTGTTAATTGGCTGTTGATTACTGGTGTTGACTTTTTGATGTGTAGTGCCTCTCTGATGTCGAGTCTCTTGCTATCGCTGTATCTATCGATGATTTCTGTGTTGTTTGTTAAGATTTCTCTGGTGATGGTCTGGTTGTGGGAAGATCTTATATGTTCCTTGATGGAGCCCTGTTGTTTATGCATTGTTAATCGCCTAGAAAGAGACGTTGTTGTCTTGCCTATGTACTGAGTTCTTTGGGGCTGACAGTCCCAAAGTGGTCATATGAAGGCATAGACGACGTTAGTCTACTTTCAGGCATTTTGCTTTGTGTCTGGAGAGTTTTTCATGGGTAGATTGGCCGTTTTTTTTTTTGTAGTAAGTTATCAATTGTATTTTCTGATTTTTGTCTGTAGGGATAATGTTCCTATTAATAATATCTTTCAGGACATTTTCCTCCGTTTTATGAGCCGTCGAAAAGAAGTTCCTGTAAAATAGTCTAATAGGGGGTACAGGTGTTGTGAAGGTTGACTCTTCAGAAGTTGCATGGCGTTTCACCTTTCTTTTTATGACGTCTTCAACAAAACCATTAGAGAAGCCGTTGTTGACTAGGACCTGCCTTACCCTACAGAGTTCTTCGTCGACTTGCTTCCATCCTGAGCTGTGGCTGAGAGAACGGTCGACGTAAGCGTTGACAACACTCCTCATGTGTGTGTATATATATATATATATATATATATATATATATATATATATATATATATATATATATATATATATATATATATATATATATATATATATATATATATATATTAGTATATTTTGGTAGCAGTCTTTCCTGTAGACATATATTATTAAATATGACCGAAAAAGTAAGATTAATAATTCTAACACGAATTTTCTCAATCTTTCGTACATTTCTTTTCACTGTTGGAGGTAATTCAAAAATCAATTCTCCAAAATTCATTTTTATTTCTAGTTTAACGCGACACTTGAGCGCGTTTCGTAAAACTTATTACATTTTCAAAGACTTTAGTTAACACATACACAACTGAATAGAACTTACACATCTCCGATTTTGTTTATATCTACATTTGAGTGAGGTGGATGGGGTGAGGTGGTATTTAATAAGGTATTAATTTCATCAACAATTTTAATTTCATGTTGATGAAATTAATACCTTATTAAATACCACCTCACCCCATCCACCTCACTCAAATGTAGATATAAACAAAATCGGAGATGCGTAAGTTCTATTCAGTTGTGTATGTGTTAACTAAAGTCTTTGAAAATGTAATAAGTTTTACGAAACGCGCTCAAGTGTCGCGTCAGACTAGAAATAAAAATGAATTTTGGAGAATTGATTTTTGAATTACCTCCAACAGTGAAAAGAAATGTACGAAAGATTGAGAAAATTCGTGTTAGAATTATTAATCTTACTTTTTCGGTCATATTTAATAATATATATATATATATATATATATATATATATATATATATATATATATATATATATATATATATATATATATATATATATATATGTATATATATAAGTACAAAGTTCTTCGAGTTATGTACCCATTCTTCTGGTTGAAGGAATCGAGGATTAGAGTCGCAGTTAGTACCCCATACTTTGTTTTAGTAAATTTGTTTTAACCAAACATTTTTGCCACAGAGAACGATGCGTTGAAATGGAGCGGTAACTGTGGCATTACGGAGATGAGACGTGGCTCTGACAGGTAATTTGCCTTCTTCTGTCCTCCAGGGAAGACTTTTGTGTTTTCTGACATATTTAGCTCGCGTATGTTTCCATTTTCCGATATATTGAATATACTGTCCACCTGTATATTATGCTGCTATGCTATATCTGGTATACTATAGTATGCTCGCTTGAACCCCACAAGGTCTTGAACCTTGGTATGTTATGTTCTTAATTGGGGTGGATTGTGAGCTTTTTGTGTGAGGATTAATTAGGTGGTTTGTCCATAGGGTAGTTAGCGAAGGAAGGGGGGGAGGGGGGGAGGGATATCTTAACTTCTGAAGTACTTGTCTTTTTTTAGGCTGTTGTGGTTGGGGATTTGTGTTTATGTGGTTTTATGTGGTGAGCGGATTGGGTTGTCTGGGTCCATATTCATATTGACTGGTTAAGATTAAGCCACCCAAGAGGTGGCATGGGCATGAATAGCCCGTAAATATTCAGATTTTTTGGGAATTTTTCTTATAGGAGATTAAGTGGGGGTGCGGCCAGGGTGTTTTTACCCCCATGTGCACTTCTCCTTCCCCTGTTGCATCTCTCTACCTTTACTACCTCTCCCCCACTCCCTTTCTCACCCCTCTCCTGCTTTCTCCCTCTCACCTGTTCCTTTCCTCACTCCTTCCTTCTCCTGCCTCTCTCCCACCCTTCTTCTGTCCTCTGTCTGCTTCCCTCTCCCCCTTTGTCCTTCCATCTCTTCCCCCTTGTCTTATCTCTCTCCTCCCCCCTCTTCCCTCATTCTCCCCTCTCAAATCTTTCTCAGAAACTATAACAATACGATGCGCTCAAACGGCTAAATAATTCCACGGAAAACACAACCTTTATTTCAGCCTTCATGAGAATCGCTCTCACCACCAGCCACAAGAACAAGGCGCCGGGCAACAGCAGGATAAATAAGATGTTATTATCCAACCTGCCAGTGATTGCACTCCATCAATACACATGTATAATAAGTGCAGCTCTTGCATCTGGACTATTCCCGACATACGTCAAAAATCCCCTAAAATTAATCAGTCAGTTTAATCCCCAAGTTAGGTAAATCCCCAACCCAAACTGAAAATTACAGGCCAATTTCCCTCCTCGAAGTACCAGGTAAAATATTCGAGAAAATATTCAATCAGAGACTTGTGAAGTACACGGAGGAGGAAGGGAAGTATAACACCAGGCAGCATGGGTTTAGAAACCGCAGAGGGGCCCATACAGCTATAGCCCTGATCTACCAGCATATAGCCAACGCAGTGTCGAAAAAAGATCAGTGTAATATAGTGCTTAGAGACGTTTCGAAAGCTTTCGACAAAGTGTGGCACACAGGCCTAAAATATAAGATATTTGAACTAGGACTTCCTGAGAGATTTACTGCTACTCTCGGCAGCTTTAGAGACAACAGAACTGCTAGGCTTAATATCGGCAGCTACTTGGGTGACGTAATAGAACTGAAAAGTGGAATACCACAAGGAAGCTGCCTCTCCCCCACTCTATTCAACATATATACAGCTGACCTGCCCCAACCCCAACATGGATAATACATCACATACGCTGATGATGTTACCCAAATAATATGCCAACCGGGCCCATCAAAGCCGCTACTAGCCGACAAGACCAAGGCAGCAATTGAACTCATAAACAACTTTGAGAAGCAATGGAAAATTAGCACCAACAAACAAAAGTTCCAAATAATACACATTGCGAAAAGAAACCCGGACCCCATCATCCTTGATAACCAGCCGATCCAATATGCGGAGGTAGGCAGAATACTGGGACTTATGATAAATAGAACAGGGATACAAATTCATGTAAGGGACCGACTAAACAAAGCCAAAGCAGCCTTAGGAAAACTGAGAAGATTACGAAGCCTCAGTACTAACATTCAGATCCACCTATATAAGGCTCTAGATCGGCCGCATCTAGAGTATCCCCCAGTACCACTACACACCATAAAGAAAACTAACATGCAGAAACTGCAAGCAGTACAAAATAAGGCGCTAAGGAGAGCAGCAAAACACCGTCCACCATATGATCAGACAATCCAGGAGCTCCATGAACTCCTGAACATACAGCCACTAAACATCAGACTGCAGCACCAAGCCATCAGGGTATGGAACACCATCGAAATGTTAGAGGACCCAATGTTTGAAAGATTACTCCAAGATGTGACGCCCCGCTCCCACAGCTGGTGGCCCAAGATGAGACGCCCCACTCCCACAGCTGGTGGCCCAAGATGAGACCCCCTACTCCCACAGTTGGTGGCCCAAGATGAGACGCCCCACTCCCACAGCTGGTGGCCCAAGATGAGACGCCCCACTCCCACAGCTGGTGACCCAAGATGAGACGCCCCACTCCCACAGTTGGTGGCCCAAGATGAGACGCCCCACTCCCACAGCTGGTGGCCCAAGATGAGACGCCCCACTCCCACAGCTGGTGGCCCAAGATGAGACGCCCCGCTCCCACAGCTGGTGGACCAAGATGAGACGCCCCACTCCCACAGCTGGTGGCCCAAGATGAGACGCCCCGCTCCCACAGCTGGTGACCCAAGATGAGACGCCCCGCTCCCACA